CAGCGCGTGGTTGAGCTGCAGCGAGCGCAGCACAGGCAGCGCGCGGAAGGCGCCGCCGCCCAGGGCGCGCAGCGGGTTGTGGCTCAGGTCGAGCGCCGCCAGGCTGGGCAGCCCATCGAAGGCGCCGTCCTCCACCACCTCGATGTTGTTGTGCGTGAGGCGCAGCGCGGCGAGGAATGGCAGGCGCACACCAGGAGTCGCCGCCTCCTCTCCGTCCGCGTCCCCGTCCCCGTCGGCGAAGGCGGCCGCGCGCAGCACCGTCAGGTTGGCGCCCACGATGGTGAGGTTGCGCGCGTCGGGTGGCACGTCCCGTGGCGGCTGCCGGAGCTCGGCGCCCGACGCGCAGCTCAACAGCAGCTTGGGGCTGCCGAAGCAGTAGCACTGGAAGGGACAGGGCGCGGCGGGCCGGCTCAGCGCTGCCGCCGCGAGCAGCAGCCCCGGCAGCAGCGGCCCCCGAAGCCCCGGCTGTCCCACGCGCCGGGCCATCGCGGCCGCCCCCGCATCCAGCGCCCGGGCCGCCGCGCTCACCAGTGAGTTGGGAGCGCCTGGTGGGGGGCACGGGTGGGGCAAGTCCTTGACCCGGTGCGGCCGGCAGTCTCGGTCGGTCTGTCTGTCTGCAGGCTCTAAAAGTCCGAAGAGCCTTCACTTTCCTGGCTGGGGGCGAGCGGGGTCACGCGGGGAGCAGAGCCCCCCGCCCCCGGTGCCCTTCTCGCCCTGCGCGCCGGCCTCCGACTTCCGCGGCCGTTCCAGGCTCCGAGCCGAGTGGGCAGGGTTTGCCTCCCCCTCCCCGCCTCCTGGCCTCCTCCTCCGCCCCCAGCGGTGTCTCCGCGCCCTCCTCGCCTAGGGAGGCGGGGTGGGAGGCTCCCGAGAATCAGGATTTCGGTTCCGTGGCTGAGCTCTCCCTTACGCGCTCCGGGCCCCGGGCTGCCGAGAAGTTTGGCCCTCTGAGGCTGACTCGCTCTCTCCCCTCCTCCCCACGCCCCACGTTTAGGCCGGTTTCCTTCTCCCTCTGGCACGTGCGGGGTGGGGCCGGCTAGGGCGAGCTGGCAGAGCTGGCAGATGGGTCTTTACCCAGAAGAATGTTCTTCCTTTTGGGGAGAGGGTGACTTTAGAGCCGTCCTTACAAGAGGAGGCAGGGACTAGGGATGGGCTGAGAAAGTTACTCATTTTTCAGTCTCTTCCCCATTTCTGGGATCAGGGAAAGGGGACACGACGCCAGGGGAAAGAGACTGGAAAATCCCCAGCCTCTGGCCACCTCCTCTTCAACCCCAATTCCATTAGGCACGGCCAGGTCCCTACCCCTCAGGTCCTGTGCAACTAGCATTTTCTGGACCCTGTCCTATGCCCTGGAGAAGTCCGCTGCATCTCTGCCCCACCTAGACCCGCCCCCAACTCTGGCTGAGTCGGTTCTACAGGGAGTCCGGGCATCCAGTTCCCTCCAGCAGGCGGGAGTCCTCCCAAGCACTCACCTAAGCACAGGGACTGGTGGGCAGGGTGACTCGGCTCTTCACTTTTCCTCTGCACCCCCGCAGCTGGGCACCCTTGACAGCGACCCTCCCTCTCCCCTCCAGGGTTCCCCCCTCTGTTAGTGGTGAAAGGGGTGGAGGGTTGGGGGCTCCAGAGGCTGGGAGGACAGGAACCACTTTTGCAGCACGGAATGGGGTTTCTGAGGGGACCAGGGCTGAGAAGAGGGTTGAGCTGTTTATAGGTTTGTTTTGTTCTGTTCTGGATTTTCACTTATTTATTTATTTATTTATTTGCAGAACTGGGAAGTGCCAGACCTGATTTAAAGAGACAGGCTCCTGAGAAGGGAGCATTCCTGGCCTTGGCATGAATTATTCAGGTTGGAGAAGCTGACATTTGATCCGCAGGCCATTCCAGTATCGGCAGAGCAAGTTAGGATAGAGGCTCCCCTTCTCTCCCCCTGGAGTCAGTCGTCTTTCTCCTGAATTGGGGAGGGTTGTCAGTTGTCGGGCTGACTTCTCTGTGGTTATATTTAACAGATCGACCAACAGGATCGAAACCACTTAAAGAGAAGAGGCAGATCTGCAGTGGCCCGGGTGTCAGGCAGGGACTAACACTAAGGACCAGGGCTGGTGATGTTGGGGATCCTTCAGCCTCCATTACCCTACAGTCCTTTCTCCCCTGTCCCCATCATAGCTCTCCCAGATACTGGCAGGTGACAACAGTAACTTGCACATACACAGTTGGATATCTCTGTACAGATGCACGTTAGGTTGTGTGTACATGTGTGCTTACACATAGCAAGGCAAGTGTTACATGTTTACACAAAAACATGTAAAAAAAATATTTGGACAGATATGTCCAAATATGGACGCACAGACTTGTGCATACTGGCCGTGCATATGCATGCACGAGAAGGCTTACACCAGCAGGGTAAGGTGTGCCTCGTGCAAATATATTCAGGCTCAGTATAAATGTGCACCCAGGAACATAGTTGTTTTCAATTTCTTTTTTTCTGTAGCGCTTTTAAACTCTTTTTCTTTAGTAGTCCATATTTGTCATACATATTGATCACATTCACCATAGGGAGTTTATACCTGTACATAGTATGTCTTAATTCCTTTTTTCCCCATTCCCCTGCCCTCCCTCAACGCTTCTTCCCTTCCCCCCTTACAAAAGCTGTTTCCATTTTTTATTTCCATTCTTTTCCCTCTTTCCCTTCCTTCCTTCCCTTTCACTTTTTCGCCTTCCCATTTGAACATGTTCTTCCTACTTCCCAGTATCTGTCCTCTTTTATGCTCCTTAGCTACTCTTTGGGTGTCTCACACAAGAGAAACAATGCAGTATTTAAACTTGTAGGAACATAGGTTTGAGTGGATCCTGGTATGTGCCATAGATTCATGAGCACGTACATGCTTTAATAAGCAGGCCCACTTCTGGTCCTTACAGATTCCCAGATGCATTCTCAGAGAAGCAGGCTTACAGACCCGTGTATGATGTAAGCATATGCATCCAGAGATTGACCAGCCCTGGGATCCTGCTTCTTGCCCTGCACTGTGTCCTTGGTCTGTGGAGGTCACGGGCTGGTGGTCTTTCCTCTAGGGTACAAGTGCTCAAGTCGCTGCCCTTGGGCTGAGTACTTACCTGTTGTGCTCCCCTCAACCTCGGCCCGCGTCAGCCCCAGCTCTGACATCTCCTTGTGGTGGTGGTGTCCTAGGTCTTCTGCCTTGCAATATTTCCTGTAGGGGAACCAGTATGAGACAAATGTGCAGCAAGGGCTTATGGGCTGCCTGTCCTGCTGGCTGCAGAGATGCTGCTACCTCCAGTCCTGTGGAGTTGTAGGGCACTTGCCAAAGCCACAGCTCCCTCCCCAGGTCCCACCATGACTGGCTTCTGAGTAGCTGGTTGATGGCACCCCTAGGAAAGGGACCGTAAGGCAGCAGGCAGCCTCGATCAAGATGCTAAACATCTCAGCCAGGGAAGGGAAGCCCAGAGAACAGAGCACAGGTTAACTGTGTTGTACAGATGGGGAAACTGCTCTGTTCTCTGGAAGAATAGCCCTTTTCATCTTGGAGTTATCAGTGTGTAGTATGTCTTCAATAAATGTACATCCAGTTGAGTCTGAGGTTGTATTTCTTCTTCAGTGTATCCATGAGAAGTATCTTTTCTTGGGCTGCTTCCCTCCCCTCTGCAGTCCTCTTACTGTCTGTCTGGGCTCAGCATGAGTTTGCCACCTCCAGGAAGCTCTCATGGCTTCCTTCTCCATGTTTGGAGCTTCACATAGTGATCAGAGTGCTAGGGCTGTCTTGAGCCTTTTGGCTGTCTGTAACTGTAAGATTGGTTGGATTTCCTTGGGTGTCAGGACATAGGGCAAGGTTCAGCATAGAAAAGGCAGCAGGGAAGATTTATTGAATGAAATAACGATTTAAAAATCTCTGTCTTGATCCTCCCATTCTGGGGAAGTCAGCTTGATGAGGATCCCCATGTACACTCTACGCCAGGAGATGGTTTCCCAGAAAGGTTAAGTACTTCCCCCAAGGTGACACAGCTGTGGGGACCTGAGCCTGGCAGGAGCTCAGGTTTCCTGCTCATTTCCTTTGGCAGAGCAACCCTCTCTGTCCCAGGCTCCCTCCCTAGAGTGTGACTGAGAAACTGATGGGCAAAGAGCTCAGGCTGTCTGGTTTTCCTCAGGACTGAGAGCAAGTGAGGCATCCCTATCCCATCAGAGCAGAGTGACCACCTGCCCTGGACCCAGATGAGAATTCCCCTTTGCAGCCATGCTAGACCTGAATTTTCCCTTTTTACAAAAAAAATTCCCCTGCAGTATTAGAGCTGGAATCCAGGACCACATCATGCCAGGTAAGCCACCTCCCACTGAGCTGCATCCCCAGCCCCGGACCTCAGTTCTTGAATTTATTTTCCCACTAGGTCTCATAACTCCTTTCTGAGCATTCCAAGTTGTTGGCCTCTCTTTAAGTCTCAATCTCGTTCCTTTGGATTCCTTTCTCTTGGCAAAGACCGTACTTTCTGTAAACTCCACTAGAGAGATTTGTTGATTTTCCTGTCCTAGGATACCCAGCAGGTAGCTCCTTCCCCATTAGGTACCAGCTCCAAAATGGCATCAGAAATGCCTCTCGCTTGTGAAAGCCCTTGGGCAGCTCTCTGCTTTCCAAACCTCAGTTTCTCTGTGTGCAAAAATTTGTGTGTGTGTGTGTGTGTGTGTGTGTGTATGTGTATGTGTGTGTATGTGTGTGTGTGTACACAGGTAGTCTTTTAGTCTTGTGCCCCTGGCCTTTTAGAGATGGAGTTCAGGGAGGGGAAAGTAATACTGTGATTTGCCCAAGTAGGTCTCCTCACCTTCTCCATGTACAACCTTGAACTTGGCTCCACCCCAGTTAAGGCCATAGTTTGCTTATAGTGGTGATAGCATAAAGTGGGGTTCCATCCAAGCATGCTGCTTTAGTGTCCTGTTATGCAGGTCCCCCTTTATCCTGAAGGCCCTCGTGCTGCTTTCCCTTTCCCTTAGCTCATTGCTGTGAGGCAAAGGGAGAGAAGCTGGGCAGGCTTGATATGATGAAGACCAGTCCTGAGGCAGCAGGATGGCCTGGGTTCTCTACTTTTGTAGCTCGTGCGATGGCCTGATGGCGGGGGTGGGTTGAGGAGAACTTCACTGTGGGCCTGGCTGTTCACATTTCTCATCACTTACTCCCTCCTCCCCCACTGCCTGAGACACTGGAAAATCCATAGGCCCAAGATTCATTTTCTCTGTTGAGTCAGCAGAGGCCACACTCTGCTTCTGAGGGGCAGACAAGTAGCTTTTAAATAACTGTCTGATATTTAATGCCCTCCTCCTCCACTCTGTGGCCTGGACCTCTAGGGAAGGGCTGATATAAAGGAATGGGATGAGTCTTCTGAAAATCCCCCCTCTTCTTACCCAGAGTCTCAGAACACCAATAAAAGATGATGCTCTTACTGCTTTTGTACTTAGCTTTACAGTTTACACATGGTGCCCCATGTTGGGCTTGTTGTCTCCTGTTTAGAATCAGAAACTGAAGTTTAACAAAGGGGAGGAAGCTCACCTAGTGTTTAATTGTAGTCTGCTGCTGGCCAGATGTGCAGCTGTGCGCAGGTCCCTCAGCCCCTGGGGTTTCTATGCTGCTCTTGTGGGAGAAGCTAAACAGTAGAGCAACTGAAGCTCAAGGCCAGGTAGGGTCTGAACCCAGGACTCTAATGTAGACTGCATGAGTGAGGGGCAAGAGTAGGTAGAACAAAATGGGAAGGAGCATTGTTAGATCCCTTCCAATCCCTTCTTTCTTTGGCATTTAGAGGTGAGGACAGACCAAGGGCAATACCTATTTGAATCTTGGTTTCTTTAAAAGGTAGGGTTTTTGCAGCATCTCAAGATGCAGTTCAAGGTGAGGAGAGTACACTGTCCTTCCTCAGCTGCACTAGGGCCCAGGTTGCTGATAAT